TGTCTCAAAAAAAAAAAAAAATTTTTTCAGAACTACAGAGGAAAGTATAAAACTTTATTAGACTATTAAAATCTAAATAGAAGAAGAAATTACTATGTCCATTGGTAGAAAGACAAAATTGTAAAGATATCTATTCTCTCCAAATTTATCTACAGATTCAAAACAATACTTCAACAGAGTTTTAAATGGCAGTTAATAAGGTGATTCCAAAATGTATATGGAAGAGGAAAGGACAAAGAATAACTAGGATTTTCCAAAGAAGAGCAGGACAGAGCCGGGTGCGGTGGCTCAAGCCTGTAATCCCAGCACTTTGGAAGGCCGAGGCGGGTGGATCACGAGGTCAAGAGATCGAGACCATCCTGGTCAACATGGTGAAACCCCGTCTCTACTAAAAATACAAAAAATTAGCTGGGCATGGTGGCACGTGCCCGTAATCCCAGCTACTCAGGAGGCTGAGGCAGGAGCATTGCCTGAACCCAGGAGGTGGAGGTTGCAGTGAGCCGAGACCGCGCCATTGCACTCCAGCCTGGGTAGCGAGAGCGAAACTCTGTCTCAAAAAAAAAAAAAAAGAAGAGCAGGGCAGAAAACTTGCCACATAAACTATCAGGAGGTATACTAAACCTACAGTAATATGACTTTATTAAGCATTGTAATCCTATAGTAATTAGTAATACAGTATTATAAACCTATAGTAATACTTTATAATTATTATAAACCTATAGTAATACTTTATAATTATTATAAACCTATAGAAATATAGTCATATTGGTGCAAGGTCAGATAAATTGACAAATGGGATGAATGGAGTGGAATGGAAGGGAATGAAATGGCACGGAGAGCTTCAAAACAAACCCACACATTTCATAATGTTGACACACAACAGAGATGACATGTCACATCACTGCAGAAAGGAATAACTTCAAGAAACGAAGCCCCTTTTAAAAATGTAATCCGCTTAGAAAAGGAGAAATTAGATTCCTGCCTCACACTATATCCAAAAATCAACTTCAGATATAATAATGACTTAAATGCCAAAACGAAACTTCTCAATAGAAAATATAAGTAAATTGGCCAGGCCCGGTGGCTCAAGCCTGTAATCCCAGCACTTTGGGAGGCCGAGGCGGGTGGATCACAAGGTCGAGAGATCGAGACCAACCTGGTCAACATGGTGAAACCCCGTCTCTACTAAAAATACAAAAAATTAGCTGGGCATGGTGGCGTGTGCCTGTAATCCCAGCTACTCAGGAGGCTGAGGCAGGAGAATTGCCTGAACTCAGGAGGTGGAGGTTGCGGTGAGCCGAGATCGCGCCATTGCACTCCAGCCTGGGTAACGAGAGCGAAACTGTCTCAAAAAAAAAAAAAAAAAAAAAAAGAAAGAAAATATAAGTAAATTTTTGGCTGGGCGCAATGGTTCACACCTGTATTCTTAGCAATTTGGGAAGCCAGGGTGGAAGGATTACTTGAACTCAGGAGTTCAAGACCAGTCTGGGCAACATAGTGAGACCTCACCCGGATGTGGTGGCACACACCTGTAGTCACAGGTACTCAGGAAGCCGAGGTGACAAGATCACTTAAGCCCAGCAGATAAAGCCTGCAGTAAGCTATGATAGTGCCACCACTGCACTCCAGCCTCCAACAGAGTGAAACTCTATTTTAAAATAAAAAAAGAAAGAAAATGTAAGTTAATTTTTTTTACTTCGGAGTAAGGAATGATTTCTTAGATAAGGCATAAAAGTATTGACTATAAAACTTTGTAAATTTGGCTATTTAAAATTAAGAATTTGTTATTCATCAAAAGACAGCAGGCAAGGCACAGTAGCTCACACCTATAATACTAGCACTTGGGAGGTCAAGGCAGGCCAATTTCTTGAGCCCAAGAGTTTGAGACCAGTCTGGGCAACATGGCAAAAACCTGTCTCTACAAAAGATACAAAAAATAGCTGGGTATGGTGGCATGCACCTGTAGTCCCAGCTACTCAGGTGGCTGAGGCAGAAGGATCACTTGAGCCCAGGAGGTCGTGGCTACAATGGACCCTAAGCATACCACTGTTCTTCAGTCTGAAAAACAGAGCAAGACCCTGCAAAAAAAAAAAAAAAAAAAAAAAGTACAATAGTAAGTTCCATAGTTAACAAATACTCTCAGTACATGCAACCAACAAATAATTAGCATCAAGAACTCCTATATGGCCAAATGCAGTGGCTCACACCTATAATCCCAGGACTTTGGGAGGCAGAGGCGGGTGGATTACAAGGTCAGGAGTTCAAGACCAGCCTGACCAACCAACATGGTGAAATCCTGTCTCTACTAAAAATACAAAAATTAGCTGGGCATGATGGCAGTTGCCTGTAATCCCAGCTATTCAGGAGGCTGAGGCAGGAGAATCGCTTGAACCCGGGAGGTGGAGGTAGCAGTGAGTTGAGATTGTGCCACTGCACTCCAGCCTGGTCGACAGACTGAGACTCCGTCTCAAAAAAGAAAAAAAGAAAAAAGAAAAAAACCTCCTATACAACAATTATAAAAGCACAAGCAATTCTCTGTAAGGATACCCACACTTTTTCTTAAGAACATATAGTAAATATTTTTGCCTTAGTCTTTGAGGTCCATACAACCTCTCTTGGACTACTCAACCATTGTTCAAAAGTAGTGATAGAAAATACATAACAGATTAACCACGTTCTAATGGAATTTTATTTACAAAAACAGCCAGCCAGCCCAATGGCCTTAGCTTGCCAACCCTTCTAATAGACTAAGGATTTGAGCTGAAAATTTTTTTAGATTTGAATTTAAATCGGTTTGCTTTGCTACATAATAAAATACTCCAGACTCTCTCCAAACTTACGTTAGCCTCTGTGGTTTGACTCCTAAAGGAATATACCACAATATATATATTATATATATACATATATATATACACACACACATCTATATTCATGTAATATATATGTGTATGTACATGCATGTATATATCATCTAGGTAATGTACATATGTGCATACTATACACATGTAATATATAGTATGTACACATACATATCATGTAATATATGTATACTATATACATGCAATATATATGTGTATATATACACACATACATACAGAGAGAGAGAGAGAGAGAGAGAGAGAGAGAGAGAAACACCAACCAGATAGTGGAGAGTTTCCAGTTTCCAGGTATACCTGAGTTTGGTAGAAGCCATTTCTCTCCAATAGAGACCCTGTAGGCCACAGTCAGAGAGCCAGCATCCCTGAGAAAGCCACAGAAATATTCTTCTCCTGGCTGAATCCATTCCCTGGCTGGCTGGCACTTGGCAACCTGACAAGTGTTTTACATCCAAAAGGTCAAGCTCTGAGCGAATCTGCCCAGAGACTCTAGTGAAGAGTGCCTTACCACTCATGCCTGGATGCCCAGGCCTGGCGCCTGTCCCCTGCCCCTGCCATTCTGACAGCTGTGGAAGAAGGACCCAGGCTCCCAGCTTGGGCTGTCAGCACATGCAGGGCAGCCCTTTTGTTGAAGGTCAAAGTCTAATTCTCACTCCAGGGAGCCTTCTCTGTTGCTCTCTTTCTTCTAGCATGTCCATCTTAATAACTGCTTGTATTTTTCTGCTACTTTATAGTCTTCAAGACATTTTCCCGTTCACAATCTTATTTGATCTTCTCAAACAGAAGGAGGGTGTCAGAACAATTGTGAATCTTGTTTCGAAAAAAGAAAGACTAGGCAATTGAGTGTTGGGAGAAAAGCGCAGGGAAAGAAAGATGCAATATTTTTCCTCCCCCATCATAAGGATCCCGGCTGATACTCTCATAACAGGTTAACAGGAGAAAAGCATAACAAATGTATTTAATCAAAGTTTTATGTGACTGAAAAGTTTTATGTTCAGAATGAAGACCCAAAGATTTAGGGAAAATTGTCCATTGTTTGTTTGTTTAATGGAGTTTCACTCTTGTTGCCCAGGCTGCAGTGCAGTGGCATGATCTCAGCTCACTGCAACCTCCGCCTCCTGGATTCAAGCGATTCTCCTGCCTCAGTCTCCCAAGTAGCTGGGACTACAGGCACATACTACCACGCCCAGCTAATTTTTGTATATTTTTGTAGAGATGGGGTTTCACCATGCTGGCCAGGCTGGTCTTGAACTCCTGACCTCAGATCATCCACCCACCTTGGCCTCCCGAAGTACTAGGATTACAGGTGTGAGCCACCACACCCGGCCAGCTGTCCATTTTTATGCTTAGATTGGATGAAAAATGGACAGCCGTGTAGAAATATGATTGGACTGAAAGAGCATGACCTAATGCTAATAGACTGCATGCGGAAGCCCAGCAAGGCCTATGCAGATTCTTCTTGCCCTCTCTGTTGTAGCATTTCTTCCTCTCAGGTATGGATGGGGCAGGACCCCTCTGGAACGACAGTCTTCTGACCTAATATTGCCAAGGAAAAGCCAGAGATTTTCTTTAAAGCCAGTTCCTAGCCAGAGCAGTAAAGAAAGATTAAAGCAGGCCTGGCGCGGTGGCTCAAGCCTGTAATCCCAGCACTTTGGGAGGCCGAGGCGGGTGGATCACGAGGTCGAAAGATCGAGACCATCCTGGTCAACATGGTGAAACCCCGTCTCTACTAAAAATACAAAAAAACTAGCTGGGCGTGGTGGTGCATGCCTGTAATCCCAGCTACTTAGGAGGCTGAGGCAGGAGAATTGCCTGAGCCCAGGAGGCGGAGGTTGCGGTGAGCCGAGATCGCGCCATTGCACTCCAGCCTGGGTAACAAGAGCAAAACTCTGTCTCAAAAAAAAAAAAAAAAAAAAAAAAGAAAGATTAAAGCAATTGTTCAGTTTTTGTGACTGGCTTTGGAAAAAAGATCCAGTTTCTATGACCCACCTTGGGGAAGAGAAATTCTGGTTTCTATCACTTGCTTCAAGAGAGAATGAGGGGTAAGAGACAGCAAGGCAGAAGATCTGAGAGACCTTGGTTCTGAGGTTGCTTCTGAGGCCTTCTGGCATCCTTTAATAATTTATCACTTCTCAACCTTTTGGCTAAGATCCAGTGTAATATCTCTTCTTATCAGTTTAATACCTGATATGTCCTCTATCCGAGGGCAATATATTAAATGGATTTTTGGAGCAGGGAGATAGAATAGTAGCTTGCTCTGTCCACTCCACACATTGACTTGCTGCTGCAGTACCTCCAGGAATGGTGCACTGCTCCAGGAGATTTTCATTTTTAATCCTTTAATTTAAAGTGCTCAGCATGCCAAAGGGCCATAGTTTCAAGTATCACTTTCTGAACCCCAAAAAAGTATAATAGAGTGGTTAAAAGCAGGGGCTCCAGAGTTGGCCTTCTGCCCATTAATCACTAGGTAACTTGGGCACACTCATCTCTCTGACTCAGGTTTCCTACATAGAAACTAGAGATGATAATTTCCCTATCTCATAAGTCTTTTTGCAAGAACAATATATAAAAATATAAGTAAAATGTCTAGCATATAATAATAGCATAATGAATCACCAGTATTGTTTTTATTATTTGTACTGCTTTTGTTATTATTACATACCTAGAGATCCAACACTAGGTATGTGATAACGCTAGCTGTGTGGCAACATGGAGACACACATCCATGACCTGAGTCATATTCCCTACCTCCAACTGTCAGTAAAGAGAGTGGGGGCCCTGGCTGTCCTGCTCTCCCAAGTGAATGCAAGCTATTCCACGAGGTGTGGTCTAGGGTCTTCTGTTAGACTGTTTTTGTTTTGGTCTTTCTCCTCCTTCTTCTCCTCCTCCTCCTCCTCCTTTTCTTCTTCCTCTTCTCCTTCCTTCCTTCTTCCTTCTTCCCCTTCCTTCCTTCTTCCTTCTTCCTTCTTTCTTCTTCTTCTTTCCTCTTCTTTTCTTCTTCTTCATTTAGAGACAGGGTCTCACTCTGTTGCCCAGACTGGAGTGCAGTGGCACAATCATAGCTCACTGCAGCCTTGAGCTCCTAAGCTCAAGCAATCTTCCCCCCTCAGCCTCCCACATACCTGGGACTGCAGACATGCGCCACTACACCCAGCCAGAACCATCTTCTTGAAAGAAAACTTCTTCCTTAGAGCTTGCTAAAACTTCAGAAAAGAACTCCAGGATCCCAAACTCTTTTAGGTATGGGCAAAAAAAAAAAAAAAGCTTTACCCAAAACTGGGTTTGTCTTTAGAATCCTGTTAGCCTTTCCCTCCACAACCTAGTGCTCTTTTCCAAGAAGGTCAGTATTCCCAAATAAATTAACTCTACCTATGATTGAAGTTCTTCTTGTAGCCAAGAGTTTCAAATCCTTTTCCTACTAAGCTTTCATTAAATTTGCTCAAAAATCACCAACTTTTAACTGTTCCAGTTCTTTTTCCTTTTTCATCCCTGGGTAATTACCATTGGATATCTCAGCAAGCAGAGAAAGATTACAAGATCAGCAAACGGAGGAAGAAGGTGGAAAACTAAGAGTCCATGCAACCCAGTAATCTGGTTGCAAATCTATGAATAATTCACAGTTAACTTTGCCCACATGAAAGAAAATGAGAGATGTGTAGTTACATCATGAAAAGCAAACACAAGAGGAAAAGAATTAAATTTCAAATACAATCATGACTATATAGGGGGAAAAAAGCAAAAAAAGAGAAAAAAATGAAAAGGAGAGAGCCAGGATCCCAGGAAATACATTGAACCATGACTGTGAAAGACAAAGGGAATATGAAGCAAAAAATATAATATAGAAATCTACCTTACTACACTGTGTATAGCAAAAAAAAAAAAAGTAAATAATGAATCTCCCACTACCATTAAGTTAAATTCAAATTGCTTTTGTTTCTAATTTACATATGCCAGAATCAAATGTGATGGTGGAAGTATTTTTTTAGTGTCATTTACATGCCACAGAAATATTGTAACCAGAATAAAAGATTATTGATCATTTCCAATAGCTTCCTCTAAAGTATACGCCAAACCTCAAGGAAGGTATATGTGAGAGTCATTTGAATTTCAAATGAATTTACAAGGGTCAGCGCTATCACAGTATGTAGCAAGTGAATCTGTAATGAGGAGGTATTCCAGACCAATTGTTTCCAAATTATGCTGTTAGATTATCTTCATTTCTCTTTTGAAAATATGTCCTATTATTAATAGCATAGAATAAGAAACCCTTGCCTTTTCTGATATCAAATTATATCTCTGGTTTTACGGTTAATCTCTCTCTCGTGCTTTTACACACCAGCCTAACTACAACAGACTTATACCCTTATTGTCTCTAGTAAACTCCTAGAAGCTTTCAAACCCCAGCTCAAATATCACCTGCCCTGCAAAACCTTTGCCAGCACTCCCAGGTGGAGTAGAAATCCCTGCTCAGGCCAGGTGTGGTGTCTCGCACCTGTAATCCCAACACTTTAGAAGGCCGAGGCAGGAGGATCACGAGGTCAGGAGTTCAAGACCAGCCTGACCAACATGGAGAAACTCATCACCATGAGAAATACCCCTAAAATGTATTTTGATTCATCCCTCCCTTCTCGTCCTCCCTCTTTCCTTCCCTAAAATACAAAATTAGCCTACTACTAAAATACAAAAATTAGCCGGGCATGGTAGCAGGCACCTGTAATCCCAGCTACTCAGGAGGCTGAAGCAGGAGAATCGCTTGAACCCGGGAGGTGGAGGTTGCAGTGAGCCGAGATCACGCCACTGCACTCCAGCCTGAGCGACAGAGCAAGACTCCATCTCAAAAAAAATAAAGAAATCCCTGCTCAGCACTCTCATCACCCTGTGTGTGTGCAACTATTCTACATGCAGCTTTAGCAAGAGTCTTCTCTTCCAGCACCTAAACTCACCAGGTCAAGATATAGCCACAGTGCTTGTATGTATGTATGCATTGTGCTAGTAGTTAAGTAACAGGGACCTATGGGAGCAAATTTAAATTCAAACATGGAGAGGGAGGCATATTATTACAAGCCTACATGGGAATCTCATGGATTCCAAGCCAAGCTTCAGGGAAAGTCTGATAAAAGACGTGAAAAACCATCTGGGATTCAAAGCACACTCCCATCTTCCATAACCAATTCTTCCTAACATCTGCTTTATTCTTTAAACTACAGACAACACAACAAAAGGAACAGGGCGGTGGTGGAGAGACTACATTTCACCACAGTTTTTGCACCTACAGAGGACAAGTCCAGCAATACAAAAAGACCAATCCCTTGTTGTCTCCTCTTCAGTCCCAATTCCAAATTCCAGGGAGGGAATTGAATTGCCCAGCTTGAGTCAGGTGTCTACCATGATCCCGTTTGCTATGTTCAGGTGGCCAGGGATATGTGGTTCTAACACAAGTAGTGGGGAACACTAAGAAGCGGAGCAGAAAAGAAGGGAGAATCATTGGGAGTTAAGCAGATACCCCAAGAGGTGAATCCTACACAGGTATTTTGTTGGATAAAAGGGAAGGAGGGCAGGAAAGGAGATAAGGAAAGAGGGAGGAAGAGAAGGGAGGGATGAATCAAAATACATTTTAGAGGCATTTTTCATGGTGATGAGTCAAACTAGGAAGAACTTAGTGTCTTACTAGGGACGGTCATGAAATCCAGTGGCAGTGACGTCATTGAACACATATACATATGATGATGTGCATCTGCATGTAGTAGCCACTGATATGGACTCTTACATTTGAGAACACATAAGCTAATCAATAACTTGGATTTGCAGTTTAGGAAAAATCAAAAATGTGTATAGAACCCAAAATCTAAAATCTGTACTGTCAGTGACATCTGCTCCAAACAGTCCAGAGGGCCTTCATGCTTAGTAGCCATCAAAACCTACTGGGAGGTAGAAGAGAAACCCATCTCTACTCACTGAAGTAAACGCGCGCTCACAGCAAACAATTAGCAGCTCCTCGGGCATAAGACTGTCAAAAAGACTAAAGCCTGGGTATGGTCAAGGTTTCCTGAAGTGTGGTCCACATTGGAATCTCAGCCAAGAAATCGCATATTTAACAAGCTCCTGGGAGGCTTTTTTTTTTTTTTTTTTTTTTTTCTGAGACAGGGTCTTGCTCGGTTACCCAGAATGGAGTGCAGTAGTACGCTCAGGGTTCACTACAGCCTCGACTCCTCTACTCAAGCAATCCTCCAACCTCAGCCACCTTAGTAGCTGGGACTACAGGTATGCACCACTACACCCAGCTGATTTTTGTAGCAACAGGATTTTGCCATGTTTACCAGGCTGGTCGTGAACTCCTGAGCTCAAGTGATCCTCCCACCTCCGCCTCCCAGGGTGCTGGGATTACAGGAGGGAGCCGCCAAGCCCAGCCTGGGAAGCTTCTTACGCACAGCACCACTGTGTAACCTCTAAAATGATTTCCAACAACCCCCAAGCTATACCATTTCGCTCTAATGTTAAACTTGGTTTGATCTGTATTACCATAGCATATAGCAGAAATGATAATACATCACTTCCAAGATTAGGTCATAAAATATTTTGGCTTTTGTCTTGAGGGCTCTCTTTGTCTCTCTCTCTCTCCCCCTCTTTCTCTTTTCTTAGGTAACCATTCCCACTGGGGAAAGCCATGTCACGAACAGCCCCATGGAGAGAACCACATGGCAAGCAGCTGAAGCTCCTGCCAACAGCCTCATGAATGAGATTAGAAGTGGATACTCCAGCTCCTTCGGAAACTGCAGCACTGGTTGACAGCTTGACTGCCACATCCTAAGAGACTCTGAAATCAGAACCACTCAGCTAACCATTCCCAGATTCTTAACCCTCAGAAACCATGTGAGATCATAAATGCTCATTGTTTTATTGTTTTAATTGGCTACATTTGGGGGTAATTTATTACACAGCAAAATAATACAGGTAGCTAAATAGATAAATAATACAGGTAGCTAGTCTCCAAAGACGGCCCCTTCCTGTCCTTACATAGGAGATTATTTTTCCTTTCTTTACGTTTGAGCCGGCCCTGTGGCTGGTTTGAACAATAGAATGCAGCAGAAGTGACATTCTGGGACTTTTGAGCCCAGCCTTTTTTTTTTTTTTTTTTTTTTATTATTATTATTTTTTTTGAGACAGAGTTTCGCTCTTGTTACCCAGGCTGGAGTGCAATGGCGAGATCTCGGCTCACCGCAACCTCCGCCTCCTGGGCTCAGGCAATTCTCCTGCCTCAGCCTCCTGAGTAGCTGGGATTACAAGCACGTGCCTCCATGCCCAGCTAATTTTTTGT